TAATCTGCACTTTAATTTTTTGAAGTTGTTTATAACTGTGTAATAAAAAAAAACAGTGAATTTATAATAAAATAATTATGCATTTTTTAATTCTTTGAAGAAAAAGTGATTCATATATTCAACTAGCTTACACTGAGATCATCTTTCTATAGGAAATATGTAACTTTCTTTTGTGATTTATTTAATGTTTATTCCAAATATATCAATAACAAGCACTACAAAACTATTTCAAAATAATTTGTTAATTTTACAAAATCATTTTAATACTGAATGTGACTTTTATTTATTACTGTATTTATAAACGTATTTTTGTACTATTATCTATATACTTATCAATGTACTTTTTATCCTATTCTTCAAATATAGTATAAAAATTCTGATGTGTACACCATGACTTTCTTGTACGGAATATTAAATTATACGCATTTTCGTGCATTGTTTTTTATTGATATTAAATCTATTCGTCGATAGACAGAAACCCAGATAGAATAAATGCAGTCTCTAAAATTCATTATATTGTTTACCATAGCGACACTCTGCGCCTAGTTCACTTACACATTACATTTCATTCATTTTATAACTCAGAATGCACAAAATTTGTAGCATTTGAAGAATTATAAATCGTTCCCCATATTCTATTCAAATACTATAATAAATCTAAAAAAAGTATAAAAGAATTAAACAACAAAAAGAGTTTCACAGACGATTCAGTATTTCTCATTCCAATTTTAATTCAGGTCTCACTTTGCAACAGGCAAAAGTACATAAAAACTCAAATATCTATATTAAAAAATTACTAAGTAACTCTTAAACACTTATTCCTCGAATAAATTCCAAAATGGATTAAGCATGATTTATTATCGTAATAATCATGTTTCTTTGTCAGTTGTGCGCTGAGTTTTCTAGATTGGCACAAATCACTATTCTGTAAATTTCAGACATGCCAAACAAATATGCGCGACATGGAAAATAAACTTTTAAACAATTAATTAAGACACAATAACCATTGCACAATACTAATTCAGAGTCAACAAAAAAATCAGCATTATATTTTCAAATTTTCACAGTCATTACAATTCACAGTAATTACAACAATTAACTGTGAAAATTGAAAATATAACGCTGATTTATGTTGTTTGACTTCTGAATTAGTAACTTTTAAATTCTTTTAAATTGATAATATTAACTTTTAAATTGATAATTCTACAAATATTGCATGCAGATTTCGTAAAGGCTTAAAAACCTTAATCAAAAGTAAGAACAAATAATTCATCATTTTCAAAGCAAAAATGTAATTTACAACATATAAGAATTAAAAACTGAGATTATGACAAGAAAAAGTGGATATATATATATACATACTTTTATACCTTGGTGCAGCCGATCGCAACCAAAATACGAAGGTGTTCTACATGTTATAGCAGTTCTATACTCAAAATTTCAACCTTCTACTGGTTTTTCAGTTATGCGAGATACATATGTACAAACAGACGGCATGAAAAATTTAAATTCTCTTCAGAATTCATTTTAAATGAGTTTAGAACTTTTTTGGAGGAAAAGAGTCCTTTATTCTGTCCTTACATACAGTTGTCACACAAAACATCATTAAATTGCATTTGATAGTGGTCAAAATGGATATTTTCGTTGAAATATAATACTTGAAATTTTTTGTAATTACAATACTTCCTTTTCACTTCGTTTACTTTACTTTTTACTTAATATTATCAATATATCAAAATAAAATACACTTCAACAGTTTAAAATACAAATTTAATTATTAAAGATTAATTATTACAAATTTAATTATATAATGAATATAAAATAAAACACATTTTTCATGAGCTTATTCTATAATATTTTGCTCTGTTTTTCTCCCTATGATAAAGCAATCTATTTTTGCAAAAAATTTGCTTTGTGATTCCTGTAGAAACTGTTTCTCCCACTGCTGGCAAAGTCCACAAATGCATCTTTTTAAAATTGAGATGATTGCGATAATACACAAGTACCAATAACTGTGGTAGATTTCTCAAGTATAGGTGTAACTAATTAGTTAAATGCATATTAGCAATTTAGAACCATTGTTGCACAAGAAGATAAAGAGCTAATCTTACTTGGGGAACAAAATTAATTCTTCTTATATAGAGATTACCAAAATTGTAAGTTGTTTGTGAAATTATAGCATATATATTATATGTAAGAAAACTGAGAAGATTGATAGATGCTCATTGTGATATACTTAGCATGATAGGTGAATGCATTATAAGGTATTTCTCCCGCCTTCTTAGCGTGCCTTCATGGTGTGGTGGTCTGAGCACGTATTCCAGAGGTCCTTGGTTTAATTCCCGACAAAGGCATTGCTTATTTTTCATGATTCCTGCTTCCAAAAAATACTTAGTGTCTCTACAGCAAAAACTTCCAGACGTGGCCACTGATTTGGAAACATAATTTTATTTCTGTAATACTGCAAGCCTTTATATGCATAAACAGATTCATAAGCACCTTTTATGGGTGGAACATGCACCCCACAATTTTGAATACCTTACCTCTTAAACAATGAACGAAAATAGAAAAATAAATTCTGCATAGCTAGCGGCAAGGCGAAGCAGGGGAAAGAGAAAGTAGAACAGAAAAGAGGGAGATTGTGCAGCAATTACCTTTTACACCAAACTATATTTCAAATCACATGACAGATTAATATCCAGATGTTGGGTTAAGATTTCATGATAAGTGCACAATAGAGATTAGATGAGTTTTGTTAGAAAAATTATTGCTCTGATATTTTTAGAATGGAGTTAAAGGGCTATTAATTGATTAAAAAGACAGATATTTTATATTTTACGTATCCTCCTTTTCAAGAAGAAAATGGCTTGGTGAAAGAAAAGCTTTTTTAATCCTAATCCTCTTACTAAAAAGAAATCTGAAATTGTACACTCAACCAGACTCAAGATCATTTAACCCAGCTAGTGAATTTAAATTAACTGTTAGAAAAAGTAAACTCCCTGTTTCTGTACAAAATTAATTAGAGTTTTTCAAGTTATGCATTGAAATTTCATACTTGATTATGACTTTTTAACTAGAAGACTTTAAAACCTTTATGACAATTTATTTTCCTGCTTTTGAATTTTCCCAGTCTGGTTCCTTTCCTACCTTGCCTTCTTTCTTCACAGAGTTTTTCTGTTTAAAATTTGTTGTATACATCCCTCATAGCCCAGAGATGAGGAAAAGAAAAGCTCTACCACCACATTTTGAAAATCTGGATTTATTACCAGATTCTCACTCAAAGAAGGCATATTTTTATTTTTATCTTATAGTTTGTACACTATGTGTATTACTCCTTGCATCCTCTCTTCAGGGAGAATACAAGCAGTGATAGAATTTGCCACCCCCCCCTAGGAACACCCCAAAACTTTTATTTATTAGGAGATTCAGCTATGGCTACGAAACTGACTTGGTTTTTATATTTGTTTACCAATCACAATCCTCTGGCCATAGTTTAGCACAAAAATGCTACCACACACGCGTTTTACACAATTTTAAAAATGCTGTTATTTAAAATGTGATACTCTAGATAAAATTATGATGTGCATATTGCACTCATGATCATGTGCAATAAAAATATAGTTTCAATAATCACGTTAGTGTCCAGCAATAATGATTCAGTTCGGCTACATCTGTCAACAAGTCTCTCCTTCGAGTGCCATCTTTCTAATTATGTAGTAAAATCTCTCCAAGTTATAATGCAGAGCACCATGATCAAACTTGGAGTAAGCAGTTTACTCCAAGTTTTTATCACATGCATATATATTTACAAAGGGAAACTTTTTTCCATTGTTGAAAAGAACAATTGAACAGAATAATTCATTTTCTACATATTTTGATCTGATAAAAGAGACAGATAGTCAGATCCTAGTTTTAATTTTAAATCATACACAGAAATTATCATTTAGTACAGATATTATTATAACTCAATTAACAGTTGATGATACATGCAAAATACAGTAGTATTTCATTGATACATTTAGCTATTATTCACCATGACTCAGCATATATTTATTCGATCATGGGGGAGAAATACTTATGAAAATTAAGTTCTTAATTTTTAAACTATTCATATACAGTTCCTTAATTATTAATTCCGAATTCATTAAGAAAATATTTTTATTCCAAAAAGTGTTTTAATATTTCATGAAAACCAAAACAAGTTTTCACCAAAAAGACATTAAATACTCTATTCCATTATTTGGTTGATTTTCAGTTCTTAAAAAATAATAAAAACCTCTGATGAGAAAATTAGTCTTCTTTTCTCATCTCATTAAACTAACATTCTGCACTTTTCTCTATTGAAGATTTTTGTAAATAAAGTTCAAAATACCCAACCTGTGTGTGTGTGTGTAATAATTCTTGATCTATTTATCAGATTTGCAAAATTTAAAAACACCTTGGCTGTAATATCTGCTCAATACAAAATACTACAAGCATCCATGAAAAATGCTAAAATTGTAGTATTATGAATATTGTTATAAAGGTTCCATATACAATGAATTAGTTCTAACAAAAACATACATCTACTCAATAAATTTAACATAGATCATTGTAAAGTTTAAATGTTTAAATAACTATGTTATTTCTTCAATAATTTTTCCCTCTTAAGTCTTTTCACTTGAGAAATTTCTTAATCTTGGATTTTAAAAATCTTAAGCATTTGTTTGTAAATTTCTATAATACACAGTAAATAATGGTAAAAGTTCTCAACAAAGTTTTTATAAGCAGAATTTTCACAAGTCATAAAATCTCAGTAAAATTGTGAATAGCATTGGAATGAAATGTTAAAATGAGAGATAAAAGTCAAAATATCCCTGTACAAAAATAACCTTTTACCAATTAAAAAAAAAATCATTATTTCAATTATAATGGGAATTATATCTGTAATTTACTGACTGATATAGGCGTGAATAAGGTCAACCAAAAAGATTTTCAGGATTGAAAAAAATCAAATAAACTGAAGTAAAATATGAGATTTTAATTGCTTTCTTCATTTTACAAAGCTTTTGAAAACAATTTTATTTTACAATATTGAAAATTACATTATTTTACACATTTTTTTCATAACTGACATCAAAGTTTTAACTTTCCAGGTAGAACCAATGATGATCTGGCTCGCAGATTGTAACCTATGAAAGAAAATTATTCATTAGTTATCTTCACAGCAACAACAGTAATTTGAGAAAGTTCTGTCCTTGCAACTTAAAAATTTTCCTAGATATATTTAAATGTTTTCTTAAAATTTAAAAAAAATTACAAATGGTGACAGATTATTTTGTACTTGGCATTCATTCATTTAGACATTTGCTATTAATCAACAAATATACCAAAATTATATAATCAACATACATAAAATAAAGCTTGGAAGAATCTCTTTTAATCTTTTGTTAATGGATTAAATGGGTTTTTTTTTTTTATATCAGTTTATCACATCTCTAAATAGCTGGTGAACATAGCCAGTCAAATATGAATCCAGTGTCTAGCTAAAGTAAACTAACTACACCTTAAGTGATGAGACTAGCTGCAGTGCCTTTACTGTACAAATTCATTACTTAACAATCCTGACTCAAAAACTATGAGAAATGCTAGGGGGAAAACTGAACTATAAACAATTTTCATATCCAAATAAACATTTTTAAATGTCAGCTTAAAATATCCAAAACCAACATACAGTGGCTCCCAAAAGTGTTCATACACTTATGATTTTCATTGAAATAGGGCTCTATCCATTAATTAAAAAATCAAAAAATGATAAACATTTTATCTCACAAAAGTCTTCGTACACTTCAAAAAAATCTTGACATATTAGTAAATATTTTCATTTTACATTAAAGTAATATTTAGTAGGATATCCTTTAGCATCCACAGCAGCTTTTAAACTGGGAATAGATTTTACTAATATTTTTGTAATTTCTGTATCAATGTTCATCCATTCTTCTATCATGACAGTTTTGAGTTCGCTTTTCATTTTGATGTCATGTTTTCATACTCTAACCTCCAGTTCTTTCCAAATGTGTTCTATGGGGTTTAAATCTGGCCACTGAGGTGGTGTTTTCAAAACCTGTGGACAATTATAGAGACACCACAGGCGAACGTTGAGAGCCGTATGCTTAGGATACGGCTCTCAACGTTCTGCTTATCATGATTAAAAATAAAGTTGTTTTCAATACCCAACTCAAATATAAATAACTTTTCTCAAATTTAAATCGTGTCTTAAAATATTTAAATACAGAGAATGATTCATTATGTTATCAATAAATACCATATTACCTAGTCCTGATGCTGCCATCCACTCCCACATAAGAACACCTCCACCACCATGCTTAACTGTTCCAACTAAGAATGAAGTTCCTCATTTTTTCTTCTCCATACAGTTATTCGACCATCGGAACCAAAAATATTAAATTTGCTTTCATCAGCAAATAGGACATTATTTCAGTACATTTCGGGTGTATTTATCTACATTAAATTCTGCAGAAACTACAGGGCTCAAACGTTGGTTTTTCACAAATTTTCTAATAATAAATCTCTTATCACCTTTAGTTAACTTTCTCGGTTGACCTTTTCTTACCTTTTCATCCGATTTTCTCTTTAAAGTGTTTTATCACATACTGCACTTAGAATGGGATAAATTAACTAATTAGCGATTTTCGAATTGATTTACCACTAGTAGGTGAAAAATTATCAATTTTCAATGCTATTTTGATTTCTTTAAGACTTTGATCCATTTCCAATAATAAATAGGAATATTATGAAGTAAACAATAAAAAATTCAGCAAATGATTTTTTAAATGCAAAAATTTAAAAAGCAGCAAACGATAATTCTAATTTGATTTTTCAAAAATTTCAGTGTACGAAGACTTTTGTGAGATAAAATGTTTGTCATTTTTTTATTATTAATTTCTAAAAATAAAGTTTGCTATATTTAAAAATATTTCATGTATTTTTGTTACGAATAGATTATAGATCTTATTGTTAAAATCTCATTCAGAAAGTTTACTTTTAATTAATGGATAGAGCCCTATTCAGTGAAAATCATAAGTATACGAACACTTTTGGGAGCCACTGTATATTTCATTTACATGAAAAGTGAATTTCACAGGAAATCTGCTGTTTCAGCATATGCAGATATGACCATTTCAAATAAAAAAAATTATGCAAATATAACATGCAGATTGCGATGTAATATTTGAAGTAAAAAATAAAAACAAGAAAACTGAAAAGATTCATCAGATGTTTAGATACACACGCTGTGAGTAAAAATGACATCCACTCATAAGCAATATTGTGAGATAGTACTTCTGTAAATTGAATGGCAACAAAACATGCATGGAAATGCCCCATTATATTTTCAGTACATCATCCAACAGCAGACTAATTAAAATAATTTAGTGAAGCAAGGAAACAGAAAATACGGCAAATGATTTTCATTCAGGTAGCAAAACCGGTATACCTAAATGTATAGAAGCAAATGTTTTTAGTGTATATGTTAGCTTATATATAACAAAATATCTCAGATATCAGTAAGGCCCCCATCCTCATCATGACATAATACAGCAAAAATAGGAAGAATTATAGCAACACAGGAGAATGACTATTTCAATGATGTAATTGAACCAAAAAAATGTTGAGGATGATGCACATTTTTCTTCCAACATCCTTTGGAAGGATAAGACAATATTCTAATATGTTGGGTTCCTGAACTGACACAACAATCATTATTGGAGTTTAGATAATCCTTCACAGGGAAGAACCCTCAGACATTAAGTCCATTGTTCCATTAATGTCATGCAGAATTATTGCGACCAGTTTCTATGAAAATCATTAACTAGACAGAAGTACCTTCAGCTTTAACAGGAAACCGTATTGATCAGAATCTTAGGTTTTTTGGGGATGACATTTACCTGTTCACATTACATTCCTTGTCATAGTGCCTCAGCAAATGCGACACTTACTGAAAGATATTTTGAAAACAGATCACGGGATATGATGGCACTACTGAATGTCTCAACATTCACAAGACCTCATTTCAATGGATTTCTTTGTTTGGAATTATCTAGGATCAGATACTTGCAGCAGCATCTACAAGGGGTAGGGGTTACATAAATTCTAGTAGCAATGCATCCATAGTTCTCAAAAGACTACTTCAAGTACTAACACTTAGAGTACCCTTTTGTAATTGCCTGCCATGTCTACCACTTTTTGCCAAATTACAAAAAAGTGTCATTCACAATCAACAGATCCAATTTTGTTGACACCCTACATCAACAATCCTAAAGCATGGATAACCACCTTTCCGTTGTTGTAATGAATTCTGTGCAATCATTGTTTCATTTTGGCAATGAAATCATAGCCACAGTCATACCAGATAGTATAGCAAGTACTTGCCATTGTCTTCATCACATAATTGCAACAGCAGATTATCACGTAACAGGTTGTCATGCAGGATGATGGAATTAGTGAGAGACATCATCCACATCCAGTACTCAGACACTTGATAACAAATCCCATCATCCTTCAAGACAGTGAGGTATGTCATCAAATGAGTATTGTATTTGGTTGGGACAAGCATATAAATTTATGATCTTTTCTGCTGATGCTCATTCTCAGCCATTTCATGAATAACTATAAGTAATAACACCCCAAAATAAAAAGAAATAAAGCAATAAAATACAATGAACTTAAATGTGCAATATAAAAGTAGAATAAGATGCTTGTCTGATTATACCTTCATGAAACTTTGTGTATCACAAATGAGCTATCTGAAATAGTTAAATATATACTATATCACAAAGAGTATTATGTGTGCTGCTATATATTATGTGGCATATTTTTTACTAGATGATAATTTTAAAAAATAAATAGCAATTTTTAATGGTATAATTTGCAGGTTAGTTGTTAGAAAGTATTTAATTAACAAGATATAAATAAATAAATACTGGACAGAAATAGTATAATTAAATCTTACAGTTAAGAACTTACACCAGATATTTGATTTTATACAAATGTAGATATAAATTAAATCAAATATTTATAAAGACATGAAATTTATTTGCAGAGAAAGATCTAATTTGTATAAATAAAATGCAATATCATTTAACAAGATTGTAAATTTGTTTCATAGATGTGTATGTTAATTTTTTAACAGAGATATGAGGATAAAATATATTCTATAACATTATTACTGCTTAAGACACAATAATGCATCGAAAAAATACTAATTCAGAAGTCAAACAACAAAAATCAGTGTTATACTTTCAAATTTTCGCAGGACTATTTTCGATGGTTTTACCGAACCATCATCCTCAGCTGCAAAAGCGCAAATGAACGAGATAGGATATAATGATTAGAAAAGAATGCCTAGACAGGAGATAAGCTCCTGGTGCCATCTGTTGATGAAACCAGAACTAAAACATAATTTCTTTAAAATCTGAAGGCAAAGATGGATTGAAACTAGGGTCGTTAATTAGAACAGAAAGATTTTTTTGAATGTGAAATGCCTCTAGAAAATCCAGTTCACCAATGGAAGATGTTTTTTGAATAATTTTGGTAGCAGAAAAAATTGAAAGTGTTATTTTCGGACCAACAGAAAATACGGCAACAGAAGCAAATGAGCAACAGAAGACTTCTGTGTTTCCTTTTTTCTAACATATGTCTCTGATCCTTGACGTGAAATTAGTCCTGTGAAAATTTGAAAATATAAAGCTGATTTTTGTTGTTTGACTTTTGAAATTATTATTACTGCTATTTACCAAAAATGAAAAAATATTGGTACAGAACATCTAGTTAGAAAATACTGTATTGGATAATTTACAATGTAGATTAAATGTATATATACAGTAGAACCTCGTGTAAGGGTAAATTCTGTTGGTTTCAGTCACTTTAAATAACAGGATATTACCTGTTTGTTATTAACTGACAGAAAAAAAAAAAAAAAAAAAACTCAAATAGAGGTTTAGAAATAGTTTTTGTTAGTAATCTTATGAACTTTCAAAAGCAAGTTTGTGCTCTGTGAAAGAGTTTTGTGATAATGGAACAATAAAATTAAAAATCAGTCTTCCTTGTTTGATAACTACTTTTCAGTATGGAAGGGGGGGAATGATACATTGGGAAGAGGTTGCAATCACTGGTGCAATCAAAATGATATTCCACATTCGTAGAATTCAAAATACAGTTATTCTTCCAATAGTTCTCAGTAGGAGGAAGAAAACAGTGTCAGCAAGTTGTAAAGAAAATCCAAGAAAAGTTGGAGAGATGACTGGATTACCTGCTAATGCATATGAATATCACAATGTAGAATAGAGTAAAATCATCTATCATTCTTAGTTTTTGTAACACTGGGAAGCAGAAAAAGTGCAGTTTTGTACTTGTGTGTTATTTTTACTTACATTACCTAGTATGGAGGAAGAGGAAAAGACTGACATTAAAACAAAAAGTTCATGTAATTCATGTAGTAGAAATTGAAAAGCTTAGTTTGGAATATTTAGGATAGAAATTTGGAATAAGTAAAACACAAATAGGTCATATACTAAAGTATAGAGAAGAAATAAAAATATTATGGATTACTAATTCAAATAAACATTCCAAGACCACAGAATTTAGAAAAACTGAAGTATCTGAAATTGATACAGTAGTGTTCAACCGGTTTGTTCTGTGAGAGCAAATAATATTCCTGTAAGTGGAATAATATTGCAAGAGAAGTTTTAGAAAGTCTGGGACTACAGACTTTCAAAGCATCAAATGATTATTAGACAAATTCAGGCAAAAACATAATATTACTTAAGACTATTTTGTGGTAAAGAAAAATCAGTAGATATGCAACATGTAACAGACTGAATAAAATAAATAAAAAATAAATAAATGAAATTTGTGAAGGATGCAAGGCTAAAAACATTTACAGTGCAGATGAAACTGGATTATTTTATTCCAAGTTGCCAGACTTCGCCACTATACTTCAAAGGAAAAAAGTGCTCTGATGGCCAAATCTCCAAGAAAACATCTTACTGTGCTACCTTGTTATAACATGGAAGGGGAGTTTGAGTAGTTTGGTGTGTTTTGGTTTATTAAGATTATGGCAAAGTACAAAAGGATTATTTGCCTAAGGCAGCATGGCCCAACCCACGGGTCACATGCGGCCCTCTTATTCATTTTGTTGGCACTTGCCCTTCTTTACTGGAAAAAAAATGTTAGTTAAATATTTTGAAAAACAAAAGACCCTCCGTACTGCTTTAAATAATAAATGTAAATAATTATATTAAATATTATGATTAAATAATAAAAATTATAAGGCTCAAACAATGAAAACTGTTGTAAATACTGTAAATTTAATAAGGGGATGCAAAGCCAAGAGACACAGAGCATTTATTTATTGCATTTGTGGACAATTTGGATGCTGAGTATGGTGACATTTTATTGTATTGTCAAGACTAGCTAAGTGCTGGAAATTGTCTGCAACAGTTTTTTGGGTTGAGGAATAAAATTCTTGTTTTTCTCAAAAAAGAAAACATTGGGCATGAGTATCAAGAAAAATTGGAAGAAATCCAGTTTTTAAATAAATTTGCTTTTCTGACCGGTTTAACAAACCATCTAAATGCTTGAAACTACAACGCAGAAAACAAAATATATCCCAGCTTTATGGACATATTAAAAGACTTTCACAAAAAACTTAATGTAATGCAAATTGCACTGAAGGCAAATAATACGGCAAACTTCTCAATTGGTCAGCAGTTGAAAGAAGAAAATGACACAAATTTTAGTATATTTCATGAAACAATTACTGATATCAAAGAAGAGTTCTAGGACAAGATTCCAGGATTTTGATTCCCTAAAAACAAAACTTTCATTGTTAAACAACCCCATGGAGATTTAAGTAAATGAGGCACCTTGCGACCTTCAAATGAAAATTTGTGATCTTCAGGCAGATCCATTCTACCAGACTAAAAAGTGTGATGTCACTGAACATTTCTGGAAACTGATTCTAAAAACGTTTTCCAAACTGCATAAATTTGCTTTGCAAATGTTATCGCTGTTTGGCAGTACACATGTGTGTGAAAGTGCTTTTCTGCTCTCAAATTAAATCAAAAACGAGAAATCGCATTGAAAGTGCTTCACTGGAATCGAGCCTGAGAATTTGCCTTACTGAAATTATAGTAGACATTGATAAATTTGTATCAAAAAAGCAGTGCCAATCAATCATTACATTGATTTCTAGACAGTCAAATAAAGTGATATATTAAACTAGTGATTTATATGCAATTCATTTTCTTTAATGTCTTTAGTCCTCACTCTCCTATACTAACGTTTGATTGACCCTCGGGTAACAAAAGGTTGGACCACACTGGCCTAAGAGAAAGGATGCTTTCATGAAGGACCTTCTAAGGGAAACTGGCTCATATACGCATTACTCATGGGGAAAACCGCAAAAACATTCATGCAGCTAGCCCGTTTGCCTGAATTTGAACCCAGGTCAGAGCTAATAGTGTTCAATGGCTTTACCACTCAGCCATTGGTGGGCCAAGAAAGTATGAGCAACTACTTGTAACTGGAAAAGCCAAAAGACCAAGCTTCTTCAAACACAACTTTATCAGTTTACTGGCATTACAATAAAAAGTCATGGGTAATAGCAAAGCATAATGTCAGAATGTTTTACTGCTCTTGATGAAACAAAAAAAAAAAGGAAGACTTTGCTATTTTTTGACAATTTGCCAACCCACGCATCAAACATGAAACTGAAATCAGTGAAAGTGTTTCTCCCACTTAATGCACCATCAGTATTACAGACTTTGGACCAAGGTTCATTGCAGAAATCTGTTTTTACGGTATGTTCTTTGTCAAGCTGCTTGCAGTATGCAAAATGTGTCAATGCACTGAATGCCATTCAAAACTGCCATCGATAACAAAGGCTATAAAATCCATATCACAAATTTGTGTTCAGCATTGTTTTACAAATGCAGGCTTTAAAATTCCAGTTTCGAGTGACCTCAGTGAAAATACTTGTGAAAATGAATTGGTTGAGCTCATCAAAATCAGTGGCAGTGCTCAAATGCAAAAATATTTAGAAATCGATGAAAACTTGTGCACTGAAGACATCAATGATGGCATAAAATCTTCTATTACAAATGTAGTTAAAAAATAACTTGGAAAGCAGTGATTAAAACAGAGTCAGATGAAATAATGCGACATAGAAAACTACACTAATGCCTTAAAATACACCTGCCAATTAAAAGAATTTATGATAACTGTTAGTGAGAGTAGAGGACTTAAGATCATCAGTAACTTTAATATCCACATTGGGGGAAAAAAATACTTGCAGAGCAGACTTTCAAACAAAGCCATGTAATGTATTTTCAATATATTTCTGTAAGTACAAAACTCTGTTGTTTATTTCATACATTTATGCAATAATTAAACTTTTTTAGTTAGAAATTTTCATTTTTCATCGACTTCAAATTAAAATAAATACCTGTGACTATGTTACTTATTTAGTATATATCATTTATTTAAAGCTTGATACAACCTGAATTTCTAATAGAATTATGTTTTTTAGTCTATAACCTCTGAAGAAAGCACACCTCTGGTAAAAGGATATAATGCGTGGCCCAGTCGGTGTCCTTTATTTATATATTGTGTTAAAATCCTTAAAAAAATTGTCCCTGTGTTACATTGGGAAAGTTGTAATCTAGATAAATATGTACGCATATTTATATATTTTGAGTCCAAATACTTAGAAAAATATCCCATTTTGGGGATATTCCTAAAGTATTTGAAAATTTTGTCAGTATTTTTTATTATTAGTAGATAGTTGTTTTATGTTTTAAATGTTTAAGAAGAAAAGATTTTTAAATTTTTTCTTTACATCAATCATATATATATATATATATTGATATATATATTGTAATGCAATTAATGCTCATTATAACAACCGTTTTTTACTTCTAAAACATGAAGAAAAAGAAAATTACAATGAGTTGTCACTGTAAGTGGATTTAATATATTCTAATCATATGGAGACATTTTTCATCTGACGTCGTAGTGGACAATCACAATAATGAGCAGTTGTTATGATAAGCATTAACTGTATTACCTTTACATAGTACCTTCTAAAAATTTCATTTATATTATAGTTATATCTCTTATTAATAATGGTGTTTCCAAAATTTGTATTTTAAATGTTAGCTCATTGAAAAAAACACTGATCTTTATTTATGTTATATATGAAGAATTGAAATTTCATTTTCTAGAAAATAAAACAATCAGAAAATCATATATTTTTACTCACTGGTAGGAACAGATGATTTCTGCCTTCTTGTTTTCCTAGGTTCTACTGCATCTTCTGATTTCTGAGTACCATCAGATTTCAGAGGATCAGTTTCTTCTCGCTTACCTTTTGTTCTCAAACTGTCTTCTGATTCTTCAGAATGAATAGCAGCAGTAGTGTCCAGAACTTTCTGTAATTCACTTTTTTCAGCACATACAGTTCTGTTTTTTCTTCTGCTCTTAGGCGATTCTAAATGTAGCTCACTTAAATCATTTGCTAAATTTGAACTTGAATCAACCCTTTGTGGTCTTAGAGAACGTCTAACGGGATTTGGGGCTAAACTATGCTTTGATTTAGATTTCTTATCATCAGATGCATTTTTTCCTGATTCTACAACAGAGCCCTTGACAGTTTTCTTTCTTAATCTCGTTTGATAACCTTTTACTGCAGAGCTTTTCACTACGGAGTTTTCCACAGATGAATTACCCTCATCAAATCCTGCACTATTATGATTGTCTAATTTAGATAATTTGCAAGGAGAAATCTCAACTTCTGGTAAAACCCACTCCTTACAATTTTTTTCAATGTTACTTAAAACATTAATGGTGTCCTCTACAGATGGTGCAGTTTTGCTTATATCACTACTTATTTCCTTGCTTGAGCTAGTTGATTGTTTTACTTTTGATACTTCCAAAGAATCCTGCACAGAAAGCACCTCAGATACATCTGCAGACTGTACTACTTCAGAGGTGTTTTTCAAACAATCATTCAAATTATAATCCTTCAAACATTTGGTAAACGTTTCATCAAGGACAACAGAACAAGGTTTAGGTATAGAGATCTCCACATGTTCAGTTTTGGATGTCAATGCTTCTTGCTTAATATTACATTCAGGAACAATCAGGTTTTTATCTTCAGCATTAAATATTTCTGTTTCAACTGTACACACAGGATTTTTATTGTCTTTTGGCACAAAGTCATTTTCCCTGTCTTCAGACTTTAGAGCTGCATTTTCTGAACAAGGCGAATCTAACATTTTTACAATACTGTTACTTTTTGCGTCTTCAAGTTCAATAAAATTTTCTTTCTCTAGAGTCTCTGAACAACTACTTAAAATTTCATCGTCACTTTCTTTAAAATTGCTAGATTCATCAGTGACATTCTCATCTATTGTCTCAAGTTCTAAGTTCTCGACAATACCATCATTTGGATTATTATGTGTATTACGATATGAAAAATATAATTGTTTATTATTTTCTGAATTAATATTTGAGAAAAGTGTATCAGAATATTTACACTTATCATCAGAAACTTCACTCTCACTTTTAGCAATCTGTATTTCACGACTATCATTTGAAATATCAGAAAAGGATAAAAATTCCTTTTTTTCACAAGATGATGGAAAAGTAGAGTCAACAGCACTCTTTTTAGGAGAGTTAATTTTACTATTTTTTTCAGTTTCTATATTTTCAGAAACAAATTCTGAGCCTGAATGGGAAGAATTAATGGTAGGTGTTACATTTTGAGGTGCTGTCTCTATTTTAAAATGACTTTCATTAAATTCTATACTGCATTTTACATTTGAAGATTTATCCAAATTGATTAGAGAACTGGAACTAATTTCATTGACTGTTTCATCTTTGGGAACAACAGCAGAACCACTAGCATCTAGTGTTGCCATATTATCTTCATTCTGTAATGGTTCTTTTGAAATGGCTTTACATTCAGTAGATACTCTGTTTTTATCTGAATTCTTCCTCAGTGTCAGTCTGGATGAACGTCTAGGAGTGAACTCATTTAAAACTTTCATATCAGAAGCATTTGTGAGACCCTGAGTTTTTTCTGGAGTTACAGGAAGTGGTAAATGCATGGCCTCAGTACTTTGTTTATCTGTTGTTACTGATTCTTCAAGTTTTAAATCACATTTAGATTCCTCATTTGAACTGACAGTTTTCATCTCAAGCTTGTTAGTTTCACTGCACTTAACTCTCTCTACTTTATTATATGTAGCATCTACAACTTTTGTTTCTTCAGGTAACGAAATGGCAATATCAGTATTGCTACTTTGAGTAAAATCATTTAAAACTTTCAGATCAGAAGCACTTGTGACACTCTGACACTTTTCTGGAGTTACAGGAATTGGTAAATGCATAGTTTCAGTACTTTCCTTATCTGTTGTTACTGATTCTTCAAGTTTTAAATCACATTTAGATTCATCATTCAAGCTGATAGTTTTCACCTTAAGCTTGCTAGTTTCACTGCACTTAATACTGTCTACTTTGTTATATGTAGCATCTACATCTTTTGTTTCTTCAGGTAATGAAATGGCAATAGCAATATTGCTACTTTGAGTAAAATCATTTAAAACTTTCAGATCAGAAGCATTTGTGAGACCATGAGACTTTTCTGGAGTTACAGGAAGTGGTAAATGCATGGCTTCAGTACTTTGTTTATCTGTTGATACTGATTTTTCAAGTTTCAAATCACATTTAGAGTCATCATTTGAGCTGACAGTTTTCATCTCAAGCCTGTTAGTTTCACTGCACTTAACACTGTCTACTTTATTATATGTGGCATCTACAATTTTTGTTTCTTCAGGTAATAATATGGCAATAGCAATATTGCTACTTGGAGTTGTTGTCTCAGTTTCAAAACCAGTTTTGTGAAATTCAGTATTGCATTTTATATTCGAAGAATTATCCAAATTGAACACAGAACTGGAACTAATTTCATTACCAACTGTTTTGTCTTTGGGAATAACAACAGCAGAATTATGGGCATCTAATGTTGCCATATTATATTCATTCTGTAATGGAATGGAACTACATTCAGTAGATACTCTGTTTTTATCTGAATTCTTCCTGGATGTCAGTCTAGATGAACGTCTAGGAGTGAACTCATTTAAAACTTTCAGATCAGAAGCATTTGTGAGACCCTGAGACTTTTCTGGAGATACAGGAAGTGGTGAATGCATGGCCTCAGTACTTTGTTTATCTGTTGTTACTGATTCTTCAAGTTTTAAATCACATTTAGATTCATCATTTGAACTGACAGTTTCAATTTCAAATTTATTAATTTCACTACACTTAATACTGTCTACTTTGTCATATGTAGCATCTAAATCTTTTGTTTCTTCAGGTAATGTAATCGCAATATTATTATAGCTGCTTTTATTAAGAATAATGGTCTCTGTTTTCTGAGATAACATTTGTGCTTTATCATCACAAGTACTGCTATTAGTAACAGAAGAAAGTTCATTAGAATTACTTTCTGTATCTTCTTGGCATTCTGTTTTCTTAATATCATCATCTACATCTGAATACTTTTTATGAGAATAATTTTCTAATTCTTCTTTGGAAGTTTTTTCCTTTGCAGATATGGTTAAGCTTTGTTCAACATGTAAATCCTCAGAAGTATTATTACTGATCACTTCAATTAAACTGAACTTATCTTTGACTATTTCTTTTCCATCCACATTTTCATCACAGCTTTTATTAGTATTACTGCTTACCTCTGATACAAATGTATGAAGATTATCATTAGAAATTTTATTATGTTCAATGGTGGCATGAGATAGCTGTATAGTACATTCTAGGGGAAATATATCATCTTTTTCATAAATATTATTGTCAATAACTGAATTTTTTTCTGAATGAAAACTATCTTCTTTACTATCACGTTTTTCAGCATCCTGTGGTAACTCTAAGCAATGTTCTACACTCCGTTTTTTAGATCTTTTACAGCTATTGCTTGCTGAAATTTGATTATCTCCAACTTCAGTTGTCTCATTAGGATGGTTTTTTTCAGCATCATTGTTAAAAACTGACTCATCAGATCTTTTACAATTGCTATACATTACACATGATGGAACGCTACCTAAATTATTTCCAAGTCCTTCATAACTTTTATCTTCCTTATCATTGTCAATAAATATTTCACTGGATTCTAAAGACAGTTCCTTAATTTTTTTAACACTCTTACTGTTAGTAGTTAGCACATTGCCATAAGAAATATCTTGATTATATTCTCCACTGTTACATTTTTCACAGTTGTTAGTTAATTCATTATCCTGAGTAGACTTAATTTCACAAACATTGATAGATTCCATTTGCAAAGTACTGCTAGCAATATTTTCACAATTTTCATATGCAATACCCAGATCATTTTCTTCGTGTACACTAACATCTGCATTTGATAGAGTTCTATTACAGCTGTCAATAAAATGATCGTTCTTTTTGTTTTCTTTATCATCCTCCATTACTTCATCAAGTTTTTCAGGAATGTTTTTGAAGATATTTGATTCAGTTTGATAAGAATTATCTACACTGCATTCACCATCACTTTTGGCATTAGAATAAATGAGTTTTAAATTGTCTGTAGTAGATTTATCATATATTTCAGAAGCGCTATTATTTATACCATGTGCAATTTCATGGGAATTATCAATCCTTTTATTACTATTTAATTCTATATCACGTTCTGAAGTCAACTCATTTGCTACTTTACTAATATCTAGATTTAATGAAATTTCAAAATTACCATTGATACCTTCATTTTCATTTTCTTCCTTACACTGAGCTAAATTTAAATTTGTCTTTGTAGATGGAATATCTAAATTTTTAGAAGTATCACTACCTTTAATTAATGCAATTTTAGCAATAGTTTCTTCAATAGCTTTGTTGTTTTCATTTCCTTTATCAGCATTAAAGACCTTGGTATCACAAGTTACAATGAGTGCATCACACTTCATTTCACACACATTGCTAATAACAGCTGAGGAAATTTTATCATTATCTCCAGTATTTTCATCACTGTCATTTTCCTTATCAAGAAATTGAATCTTAAAATTATCTTCAGCTTCTCTGCTACTTTCACTTACTTCTTCACTATCAGGAAATATGATATCATAAGCTGCATCTAACTCATCACATTTCTTTTCACAGATGGTGCTACTAATAGCCGAGGAAATTTTATCATCATTATCATTTTCTTCGTCAGTAAACAAAGCCTTAATACTATCTTTAGCTACTCTGCTACTTTCATTTTCTTCATCACTATCAGGAAATTTGATATCATAACCTATGTCTGGTTCATCACATGGTTTTTCATAGGTGGTGTTATTAACAGCTGAGGAAATTTTATCATCATAGTTAGTATTTTCTATACTATCATTTTCTTCGTCAGAAAACTCATCGTCATGAGTTAGATCAACAACTGCATCAGAATCTTCATTATCAGCACTGCTTTCACTTTCTTTGTCATTATTTAAACCTATAAACGACTTTGTTGACACTTTATCAAATTTTTTACAAATATTTCTTTTAAAAGAAACCTTCTTCTTATTACTAAAATTATCTATATCATCAGCAGTTTCTCCTTTGTTATCAAAGGGTAAATTTAAGTTAGGCTTTATAGAATTCTGCTTCCGATTTTTAGTAGTAGTATTTGCAAATGATGTAATTTTATTAGAACACTCATTTTCTGCATCTCTATGAGATGGTACAGAATCACACTGCACACTTAGGCTTTCAAAATTTTTCTGTTTTAATATTTTAGAAGAACATGATTCTTGAGGCATTTTAGGAGTTCCTTGTAACTGAATATTTAAATCAGCAGTTACTTCTCCAAGACATATTACTTTGTCATCAATATCATTTGAGAGTTTTATTTCTGTATTTTTAAAATGCACATTATGTTTTGATGGAAGATCATCAGACAGTACTGACTTTTTACTTATTTTCTTAGGAGATTGTTTATGATGGAGAGACAAATTAGGTTCTGAGTGACAATGACTTTCAGGTTTATTTTTTGCTTTTGTACCAATACCAGTTTGCTCCTCTGCGAAAACTTTACGGAGAAACGAAACATATTCTGGATCTCTTTCATAATGAAATCTATGAACTGCTTGTTTAATATTTTTAGCATTCTTACTAAGTAATGATTTCTTTTCCTTTTTCTGCTTCTGACTCCCGGCTTCACATTTAGAACCCTGGTCTAATGAAATCTTTTTCTTTTCTTTTTTCTGTTCCTGACTTAGAGTAACATTATTAGAACTCTGATCCTGCAAAATTTTCTTTTTCTTTTTCTTTTTTTTCTTTAACATGATAATTTCATTCTTATTGATGGAATCCTCTTCAGACAAACCATTACTATCTTTCACAATATTTTTCAAAAGCTTTTCTTTTGAAGTAGGTGCTTGAACAAAAATGCCACTTTCCAGGGTAACAGTTTTATTTTCAGGTCTCATAACAACTTTGTCCTTTCTTGCATCACAAGGTGGAAGAACTGTTTTTGTCTTACATTGTGATTTTAATTTCTTTCCAGTAGTACTCAAACAGGCTTGTTCAGCCTTTTCCTTTTTGAGAATTTTGCTGTGTGAAACAGTGCTGTGATCTGAATCATCAGTTACATCTGAATCTTTGTGTTTTCTTTTTCGCAAAGTAACTTCTCTTGGTCCTTTATTTGAGACATTCAAATTATCATTACTGTGAAAAGTAGAACTGATGAAAATTGGTTCATGATGCAAATCATCATTTTTTTTAATTATTCCTTTTTCTGAAGAAGTTTTTTTATCAGAATCTTTGGAATTATCAATTTCACTGCCAAGTCCCCCACAAGTATCAATCACAAACATATCTTTTATTGCCATTACTTTATGTTTCTTGGCTTCAGCATGTTCTTCTAAATAATTATCACCAAGCACTTCCTAAAATTAAAAGAGTAAAAAATAACACTTTTAAAATAGGAAAAAAAAAAGTTATACAAATGTAAAGAATAAATAATTAAAATGAAGTAGAAAAAGACATCACATAGTTTAAAGGTTTTAAAAACACATGAAATTTTCAATTTTTCTTATTACACAAAGGAAATTCAGTCAAACCATAATATATTTCATTAGCAAAAATAAGAGAAATTTCAAGAGATTTTGAAATGATTGTAGTTTAAAACACAAACATTTCATTTTAATAGGATAACTAAATTCATGGATGTATGTAAGTTTTTTGCCATAAAATTCATAGAGTGATCAATTATTTTTTTTAATAAAATGCAAAATAAAAAAAAAAACTGCATCTTAATTATGTTCAGAGGCGGTTAAGCGGCTGGTAGACCTGGTGGCCACCAGGGGTTCTAAGATAGGGAAAGGGCCACATGAACACACAGTTGTTTAGAAATAGAAACTTTTACTAATTGAAGAATAATAATGGATCAAAATTACTTCAATAAAGTAATACAGTTATGAATTCATTTTATTTAAAAGTAAAATGGAAAAAGATAAGTAACATTTTTAATTTTGTCACACTCTCCCATCAACTTATTATTTTTTTCTTTCCCTGTTCTTGACAATTACATACTGAATCTTCGTGAAAAAAGGCACTTTTAATTCCAAAAGATATTGTGTTACCATAGAAGTGATCCCCTTCAAGAAAATGACCACTATTAATGCGTTAATTTGTTCATTTTCCATGAAATACTAATCAGTTTCAGATACTATTATGGAAGTGACTGCTGTGGAAGGTTCCTGAATATTTTGTTTGACAGCATTAGAAAAGATCTTTTACTAACAATTTTTGATGAGCCATTAAGCAGTAAACAACCTTCCTCATTTTGTAACTAATTTTGGTGGCATTATTCACAAAAATCCTCAGCAAATTATTTTGCAACAAGTTTTATATCCTTGAATAATTAATAAATGGTGTTTCAGAAGGCATATATTATGTATTATTTCTGCCACAAATTTCTCTTCCAAATGTGTGCTACTACTTGCATCAAAAATAAAACACAACAATAACATACTGCAACAATTGCTGTTGTCTATAACTGCATTTCCTAATTAAATTTACTTTGAGGCTTTATATCTTGAACAACATATCAAAACTACTTAAATGTTTTAATACAGCATACAGAAGTGAATTCATTGCAGGGGACAAATTCTTGTGCTTCTGAATCAAAATGCACTTATTATTAAATCTCTACAGAAAAATTCTACTACCATTTTATAGTTTTTCATCACAATTGAATTTTACCCGAAAATAAATTAGATTAGGTGGTGCTGTTCTGTTATCGGGACCAGATTCAGAAATGTATGAATGTACGCATGCATGTGTGTATCATTGCTGTGTCCTTTCCTTGCTTTTATTACATATATACATACATACATTCATGCACACATGAACACATATATCCAAACATCAAACATACATACATTTCTGAATCCAGTCCTGATAACAAGAGTACCAAATAAACGTTTGAGAAGACAACAGTACTAATGCAAGTCAAAGTATGAGATGTGTTAGTTTTGAAATACAAACACATTTTAGTATGCAGGGCAAACATACAGCAAAAACAATTTAACTGTAATATTGTTCCCACCACTGAATATGAGAATAACTGTAAATATTTTTAGTTTAATGTTTAAAAGTGTTAAGTGGAATCGGTGGAAAACTATTTGGCAATCACTGCAAAGTTTAATACACTCAAAAGTCGTTAGTTCGGACACCCATAATCCGGACCTCAAAGCTAAAAACTTTCTGTCCATAGGCGTTTTACGCGTGCACGTAAGACCTTGACTACTGCACATATGCGTGTGCGCAAGTGCAGAATACGTTTTCGCCTGCTCGTTTAATGTATAACGGACAATGTAAGCTAAAATTATCTATTTCAGTTAATGTTAATGATTGCGTTGTTCCTTAATCTTCGAATTGGACCCCGCTTATTATTTTTTGCAGACTGTAAGAGCAATTTTATAAAAAGTAACTTGAACTTTCGATTATGTCAAATAGAATTTCCCGATGCTGGATTCCAAGGATCTACAAACGAAAGTATGTTTCGATGTCCAAAACAAAAAAGTGGAATTGCAAATGGATAAAGAAATGAAGATTGTGACAGAGAGGTTAGTGAAACGAAAAATTTCGATTGACAAGTTAGTGTATTCCGGACCGCAATAACGGACTTGACAGCGAACTTTGTAATGAACAAGAAATTATGTCTGTTACAGAATTAAAGAGAAAGTAGATCACATAAAATGAAGCAACTTAAACACTTACATTGAAAGTTGTTAATAAAGAACAAATAAACTTAAGCTTTTTTTTTTTTTTTTTTTTTTGTAAATTTGATACCTTTAGATCATTGTTCTTTATTTCATAAATTACGGTTTCATATTTTAATTTTAGAATTTCTGCATGCCATCTTACGAGATTTAAACTGATGATCTGTAATCCGGAAAAATCGATAATCCGGAATCGCCGAAGTCCCGATGAGTCCGGATTAACGACTTTTGACTGTATTTATACCCAATTTTGGTAAAGCAGATAATACCTGTTTATGTATTTCTTTATTTTTGAATTTTATTTTAACAGTAAGAACTTGCTTTCTATTAAAGGGATACTTAAAAAAAAAAAAAAAAAGAAATATTTAACATCTTTCTGTTAGTTTGTATTTTAATGGTATCAACTGCTGAGAATTCAGAATCACAGGTAAAACTTAATTAATTACCGTATTAAGCAATACGTATGAATTTCATATGTATTCCTTACACAAAATTACTTTTGTATGCATAACATAGTAGGTAGAAGTTAACATTTATAAGAATATTAATTTGGACATTTTCATAGACTCGTACGTTTAACAAAGTAAGTACACAAGCTTATAACAAATACCAGGTGTAGATTTATAAACCAAAATATGAAATATTAGGTTATATTTTCTACCGTCACAAATTAAAAAAAAAAAAAAAATGTTATTCTTCAGACATGTAACAATTTGTGAAAGGTATTTTTTATGATATCAGTTTATTTGTTATATTAAATTGTGTTGATTTAACATAACAAATACATGCCGCCGCAAATACATTGATATTTATTTTCTCCCATTAGTAGTTTAATGGCCTAATGGCCTTTCACTTGCATGATTTACACAATGGGATTGCCGGCAATCCCATTGTGAAAATCAAAGAGAGAGTGTATACCAAAGAGAAAATATTTCCAGTGTGCTCCTGCATAAATTATCTAGCATCTTTAAGTTCTGTTGTTAGTTTTAATTGTACAACCTTCATAAAAGTATCAACATTGTCTGTTTTTTGAAGTTCAATTCTGTTTTTTGAAATAGGTAATTCTGATTAATTTATTATATAAGGAAGAATTTAAACTGTAGCACCTTTTTTGCAAAATTTCTTCACTTGCATAATGAGATAACATTGCTATTGCATTTACTATTACTATATATATTCTGATCTGGCCGCTTAAAGTAAAAGACACATTTTAATATTAACATTTCAACCATTAAAATTCCATTCTACTGTTCTGAAATAAAGCAGGAAAATTTGCAATTCTTTTTCAAATACTATGTCAACAATTGATTTTGAGCACATATATCCAAATTTTCTTCAACTTATAGTATGAATAGTTAACTCTAAATTCCAAATTTCTTTGTACGAATGCATTTGGCCCTTCCTTAATTTTGCATATAATGTTTTAAATATGTAGTTTGAGTGAAAGATCTTCAGCTCTAAACAGAATTGATTATGATTTATTGCAACAGAACATGAGGAAAGTTATTGGAAGAAAAGGTGAAAAGAATTATATCAAACAAAAATTTATTAAATCAATTATGCTTAGCATTGAGAGGTCATGATGAAAATCAGAACTCAAGGAAGAAAGAAAACTATTTGACGTGCTTGGAATAGTTCAGTGAATATAACAGTGTTTTTAAATTGCATTTAATAAAATATGGTAATTGAGGATGGGGAAATGTAGACTTCATATTAATTGAAGAACATGCAGCACCACATTTGGAATAACAAGTATCCGCTTTAGTCCGCTTTAGCAAAATTAGATTATAGATATTAAATAGTGCAGCGGCAACCATATGACAACTCGCAGTAATCATTCTTTTAACTAAGTGGGTAGTTTTGCTGCAGATATTTGTAGTGCCACTGTTCAATATTTATGTTAATGCAAAAATTATTTGCTTTTTTTCCTCTGTTTTCTCTCACCTCTGGCAAATTTTGAGCAGAAGGCTGAAAAAGGTGTGAAAAGAATTTAATGGGACAAAACATTATTCCATACAATTTTTAATGCCAGTATGGCTCTTGCAGATGAAAGAGCCATACTGGCATTAAAAATAAGTTGCATCTAGGGCCAGGACGAGGGTGAGGCACTTGCCTCAGGTGAACAAATAGAAGGGGTGCCTAATTAGCTATTCGAACAAATACCCAGAAAATTACCGTCATTGGAAAACGCAATAAAGTTTCCGGACCTAAGCGACGAAAACTCAGCAAATGGCCGGCATCCATATAGTAAGCCTCCGCCAAACATAGGTCAAGCAAAACAGCTCTTCCAAAGCGTAACTGACGCAAGGAGTCCGGGACAAGAAGCCTTACTCCCACGAAAACAATCCTTTTTAGATATGACGGGACAGCCACCTTAGCTAAACCCCCCGTCCGAAAAGGTGAAAAAACTAGTTGTCGAAAACTCCCGCCTTAAGCAATGCTAAACTTCTACTTTTTCCCGAGAGTTGAACTAAACCAGAGCCTAATTATCACGCCAAAACCAAGGCCAGCCTGAGCAGGTGCAGAGACCCAGAATGGCAACAATGACATGAAGTGGCTTTTCAAGTCCAAAGAATGCACATTATTTCCAGGGTTCGTGCACATTTCCTTACATGAAAATTAAGAACTTTTAAGGACCATCAAAGAAAAAATTAAGGACC